GGGGTAGGAGGGGGTGTGTGGGAAAGGGGTGGGGGTGCAGGCTCTGGGAGGGGGTGGGGGATGCAGCGCTTACCTGGGGCTCCTAGGCAGGGAGGGCTGGGGGGGCCTCCATGCGGTGCTACCCCCAGGCACTGCTCCTGCATTTCCTATTGGCCACAGGGGCGCTTGGGGTGGGACACAGACCCACCCCACCCAGGGGCCACAGGGAGGGGCCGGCAGCCACGTGGAGCAAGCAGGCAGGAAGCTGCTCAGCTCCGTTGTGCTGCCGGTGGTGGGTGGGGGGCTCCAGGCTGTTTTAAATCGCCCGGGGGATGCGCGGGGGTGGGGGGGAGCGCCCGGGGGCAGAAGGTGGGGCCGAGGGAGAGCCCCGGCCTCAAACATTGCTGAATATTCCCGGTGCCCAGGCACCACGGGCCCATGGAACTCGCCGCCCATGGTCAGAAGATGAAGTCCCAGTGGAACTGATGCATATTTTAGATCCAGGCATCAGAACACTTACTTGAGCATGGATGGGGGGGAAGGAGGGGGGTTTGGAGGGAAACAACAAGGGTTGGAGGGAAAACACTAGATTTGTTTATGGCTGATGGCTCCAGGGAGAATACCAAAGTTGTTTTGTTCAGGCTAGACAAAACTGCTCATTCCTGGCTTTGGGCGGTGTTCCTTGGAGGGAGCTCACAATGCAATTATGTAGCTTCAGTATTTTGGATACCATTACGAGAATTGGTCTGATAACTGCTGAGCTGGGTACGTGCAGGCGTGGGTTCATTAACATCTGGAGCAGAGATCCCCCAGAGTTCGGTGCAGTTCTTGCCTTGGAATCTCTGTTCTCCATTCTGTATGCTAATGGGGATGCCTCCCTGTCCCATCCTTGATGCAACTGAGCCTAGGGGAGTTGCCTTAATCCTGCCACCCTTGTCCGGAGGGGTTTAGGTGTTTCTCCCACGGCCTTTTCATTGCTTTTTGTAAGTCTTTCTTCTGATCAGCTTTGGTTCAAGCAGAGGCTGGGGCGGGGAAGGTCTTTCGTGAGTCAGACAGGCCGGGTACTGCGCCCTGGTTCCCCAAGAACACAGAGCTGACAGGGAACACCATGGCGGACGCACAACGAGGGAATTTGGGAGTAAACGGACCATTTAAAAAGAATTTTATAAATACAGACATTACAGATAAAGACCCAGATCACCAGCCAGCCCCAAGCGAGGCCCCGGTTGCTGACCCTCAGTCCTCCAGGCCACGGAAAGCGTTCTGCATTTCCTCGTTCAGCTGGGCGTAATCGGCCTTAATCTTTGCTTCGCCGTCCTTTACTGGATCCTTGGAAAGGAGAGAGGTGGAGAGACGAGCGTGGGTTGTTAGAAAACCCCTTCGACTCAAGCCAAACCGGAAAGGCCAGGGAAGGAGCAAAGGGGACTTGGGGCTCAGCTGTTGGGTCTCCATTTACTATTAGTACAGTAACTCGTCACTTAACGTCATCCCGGTTAACGTTGTTTCGTTGTTACTGATCAATTCGAGAACATGCGCGTTTAAAGTTGGGCAATGCTGCCTTAAAGCGTTGTTTGGCAGCCACTTGCTTTGTCCACTGCTTGCAGGAAGAGCAGCCGGTTGGAGCTAGCTGGGGGGCTTGGAACCAGGGTGGACCGGCAGCCCCCCATCAGCTCCCCTAAGTTCCCTGTGCGGCTGCCGCCCAACAGACCATCAATTGCCGGGCAGTTCAGGTGTCCCTCCCCACCAGGGCCGGCTCCAGGTTTTCTGCCGCCTCAAGTGGCGGAAAAATAAAATAAAATAAAAAGCCGATCGGCGGCACTTCGGCGGCAGCTCAAAGAGGAAGAGAGGGACTGAGGGACCTGCCGCCGAATTGCCACCGAAGACTCAGACGTGCCGCCCCTTTGTATTGGCCGCCCCAAGCACCTGCTTCCTTAGCTGGTGCCTGGAGCCGGCCCTGCTCCCAGAACTCTGCTTAGGTGGGTGCGGGGTTGGGTCCTCCCTCCTCTGGGACAGACCCAACTGCCTGGAGCCAGGGAGGGTGGTCTGGGGAGGGGGGGGAGACCTTGGTTGCCCAAACAGGGGAAGTGAGAGAACCCCGAGTCCAGCATGCGGCTCTTGTACATGTGCCAACTTCCTAAAGCAGGACTAGGCCATGGCTTTGAGGTGGGGCCACAGCAAAGAGGCGGGGCCAAAGGGACCCCCCCCCCCATGTGGGAGGTGTGACTAAGGCCTTGGATGGCATCTCTGTCCTGGGAGGTGACAGTCCAGTCACGCAGCACTGGACTGAGTGACTCCAGCATGTCAGCAGGGAAGCGAGAGCGCGGTTCCTCAGGTCACCTGGTAGTGAGTGATCTGGAGTCACAGCCGGACCTCGCAGTGCTCAGGCAGCAAGGGGACGGCTAAGTACAGAAACTGCAGGTAGAAGGAAGGGGGGTGCATGCAAGGGGAGTGGGAGGTGGAACGGTAGGTAGGTGGAGGGCTGGCTGGCTGGATGGGTGGATAGATGGTTGGATGGATGGGTGGAAGAATGGATGGACAGGTCAGTGGATGGATAGATGGATGGACAGATAGGTTGGTGGATAGCTGGATGGATTGATGGAGTGTAGGTGGATGGATGGAAGGATCGATGGATGGATGGGCTGATTGGTGGAAGGATGCATGGATGGACAGGCCAGTGACTAGATGGATGGATTGATGGAGGGTGGATGGAAGGATGGATGGATGCAGTGTAGGTGAATGATGGGTGGAAGGATGGATGGAGGATGGGTGGACAGAAGGATGAGCTGGTCAATGGATGGATGGATGAATCGATGAAGTATGGATGGATGGAAGGATGGATGGATGAATGGAGGATGAGTGGATGGAAGGATGAGCTGGTCAGTGAATGGATGGATGAATCGATGAAATGTGGGTGATGGATGGAAGGATGGAGCTTGGATGGATGGATCTGAAAGCCATGCAGCACCAGCCCTTATGGAGCAGTTTAATTAGCTAACACACTGTTAACCCCTTCAGCCCCAGAGCCAACTGCCCATGCAATAACATGCCGGCACAGAGCTAGGGCTGCCCAGCGCCTCACCTTGAACTTCATGGAGCTCAGCTTGTACATGATGTCCCCAAGGCTCTCACGGATCACGGCCCAGGTGATCTTGTTCTCAGACTGGGCCGTGGACTCCACCGCATGCCGGGCCATGTCATAGAAGGCGATCATGTTCTGCAGCATCCCCACCGTCTTGTAGAAGGGGCAGAACCTGCCACGGCAGAGACAGGAACGGCCCAGGGGTGTCAGGGAGCCTCTGGAGCAGCCCCCATGGACACAGCGCCAGAGCTGCTCCCTGATGTCAGCCTTGCCCCAGAGCACGGCCGTCCTGGAGCAGCGAGCAGCTCGTGGGGTGGGCGGGGGTCAATCAACAACAGAGAGTGCTCAAGGTGGGGAGGGAGCTAGAGAAGGAGGCTCCCATCTGCAGTGAGGGACCCCATGGAGATCTTGGGGGGGCACCTCTGCCAGCCTGGGCTCCAGGGCTACCACAGGTGGGCCATACTCAACTCCCAGTTCCTCCCCCAGATCAGAGCCCTCCCCGGTCAACATGAG